AATGACCCTGGTGTTCACACGATACACATTTTTTTTTTTTTGAGTGGGAGTCTCACTCCGTCGCCCAGACTGGAGTGCAGTGGCCACTCCCGACCACCGCAGCCACGACCTGCCGGGCTCTGGCAATCCTTCCGCCTCAGCCTTCTAAGTGGCTGGAACTACAGGCACGCACTACCATGCCCGGCTAACTTTTGATTTGTAGAGATGAGGTCTCGCCAAGTTGCCCAGGCGGGTCTCGAACCGCGGGCTCAGGCAATTCACTCACCTTAGCCTCCCAAAGCGTGGGATTACAAACTGAGCCACCGAGCCCAGCTGATACACATTTTTTTTTTAGTCGGAGTCTCACTCTGTTGCCCAGACTGGAGTGCAGTGGCATGCTCACAGCCACTGCAGCCTCAACCTGCTGGGCTCAGGCAATCCTCCCGCTTCGGCCTTCCAAGTAGCTAGAACCACAGGCATGCACCATCATGCCTGGCTAATTTTTCCTGATTTGTTGTAGGGATGAGATCTCGCCAAGTTACCCAGGCTGGTCTTGAACCCATGGGCTCAGGCAATCCTCTCACTTTGGCCTCCCAAAGTGCTGGGATTATAGGCATGAGCCATCATGCCCAGCCTGATACAATTTTTTAAAAATGCGCTCGGCAGTAAGGCTTTTAGGGGCACTGGTGGAGGATGCCTACTGGGCTCCAGGCACAGAAATCCAAGCCATGGACTCAATCCTGTTCCACTATTTAACTGGCTGGATGTCCCTGAGCAAGTGTTGGCTGATCCAAGGTCACTGCCTCATGAGGCAAAAAGAGCTCATGTCATAACCCCCTGCAAGGGTTAGGTGAGGCTCAGGTGTGCCGATAGGTTACAATGCCTCACACAGGGCAAGTGCCAAGGAGAAGGTGTTGGCATTTGCTCCAGAGCCCACCTTGGGGCTTCACTGGCACAGTTCCGGGCAGAATGGAGGTCTGGAGGGGTGCTCACCTCCGTAAGGTCGGTGTCCTTGGTGTGGAAGACTGTGGACCAGAACCAAGCATTGAGGGACACCTGAGGAGGAAGGGGCTGGTGAGCATGCTGCACCCCCCCCCACCCCCGGGGGAACCCAGAGGGCTCACAGCCACCTCACCCTTGGGAAAGGGCTCTGTGTGGTGAGAAAGTGCCTTCTCTTGCGCCTGGAGCCCCCTGAACAAGCCCGGGCCCCTCCATCCCCACCCTGCCTGGTTTCCTTGGGTGGACTTCCACCACCCCATATCCCCAAGGCCACAGGGGGCTGCAGCCTCCACAGGTTCCAGCCAGGCCTGAGAACCAGTTCTGGCAGAACCAAGTTCCCTGGTTACTCAATCGCTAAGACAACAGCCCCCAGGGGCCTCGCCTCCTCCCCCAACCTGCAGGTAATGACAGCCCCACCCGGGCCCCAGGGAGCCAGTGACCTCAGCCTCTGGGGGCGGGAAGGAGGTGGGTGGGGTGGAGGGGCTCGAGCCAGCTTGGGGTGTGTTCCCAGCAAGCAAGGGAGGGCGATGAAGCAGATCCCATTGGGGCCCAGGCTCCGAGGAGGAGGGTGGCCCCCAAGTCCCCGCTTCCTCCTGGCAGGGCCGGCCCAACCCGCCAGACCAGCGGCTGCTCAGCCTGGGAGGAGCAGAGGGCAGGACTGAGGGACTGTGGTGGGCCCAGGGCCAGGGGAATGTTTGACGCCTCCTTCAGCTGTGTGGAAACAGCACAAACCATCTTGCAAATGGGCCCCGGATCTTGCAAGAGCTGGCGCTGCTGTGTCCACAGCTGAGGTCTAAATTCCTAAAAGAAGGCTGGGTTGGGAAATCGAGACAGCCAGTCAAAGGAAGGAACGGCGGGGAAGGGCCTGGAATGCCTGGGGGGAGGATGAGCTAGGGTGGGACAGGCCACCCGAGATGAGTAAAGGTCAGGACTGCTCACTGGCTTCTCCACCAGGGAAACTGGTCGGGCAGGGGACTTGGGAAGTAGGGCAGGAAGTTGCTGTCTGTTGGACACTGTAGTAGGAGGGACAACAGGATGAGCTTCCTAATGCAGGCCAGGAAGCTCAGAAAGAATGGGAAGAGAAGGAGTGGAGGCCGGGCAGGGCTCTGTTGCAAAGCCAGTCAGGTAGTCTCAGGACGCCAGGCTCCAGGAGACTCAGAGTGGCTGGCTGTGCCCGTCCAGCATGGGCCCTGCGTCCTGGGCCGAGCCTGGCTGTTTATGACCCTCTTGACCTGGGCTTCTCAGCTCAAGATGCCCCCTGGGATAAGACCAACTTCAGTTCCTTCCCAGCCCCGACGACAGGTGGTCTGGCCCTAGTCAGGCAGCTTCCTCCTTTGAAGGCGCCCATTCTGTCCCTTCCCCAGAGTCAGTCATGGAGGTGTGTGGTCTGGAGGCTGGAAAAGGGGACTGAACCTGAAGGCTTCTCAGACAAGGTCTGTACAGTTTAGGGTCAGTGTGGGGCTGCGGACAGTCCCCAGGGATCACGTGGACCAGGTCTCCCAGGCCGGCCAGGAACAGGGACATCCTTAGGGAGAAGAGTGGCCCTGGAGCCAGTGTGGGAGGGAGGAGGGGAAGGCAGCAGGGACTGGCAGTCAGCCAGGCCTCCCTGTCACCCGCAGCAAGTAGGAGGAGGTGACAAGAGGACTGAGGGACTGGGCTAAGCAGCGGGTAGAACACAGAAAGCAGGGTACGAACATGTAAACAAAGGGCCACAGGAAGCTGCTTGGTCTCCCATCCAACAGCCGCCTCCTCAAGTGCCTTCCACTTACAAAGACCCACCTGAAGCCTGGACTCTGCACCCCTGAAAAGCCCTGGGGAGTGTCCCATTATAGGGGTGCTCCTTTTCTCACCCTTTCCTCAGATTTGGGAGACAGTGTCAGTAAGAATGCAAGCCTGGCCGAGCGCGGTGGCTCATGCCTAGAATCCCAGCACATTGGGAGGCTGAGGTGAGAGAACTGCCTGAGTCCACGGGTTCGAGAACAGCCTGGACAACTTGGCAGACCTCATCTCTATGATAAATCAAAAAAGTAGCAGGGCGTGGTGGCACGTGCCTGTAATTCCAGTTACCTGGAAAGCTGAGGCGGGAGGATCACCTGAGCCCAGCAGGTCGAGGCTGCAGTGACCAAGAGCATGCCACTGCACTCCAGCCTGGGTGACAAAGTGAGACTTCAACTCAAAAACAAAAACAAAAACAATGCATGCAAGCCCTAGTGCCAGACTGCCAGAGTTCAAGTCCTGGCTTTGCATTTCCTGTATGTCCCTGAGTAAGTTATTTAGCCTTTGCTGTGCTTCAGTTTTCTCATCTGTGAAATGGGAATAATCAGTGATGATAAGGATTTAATGAGCAATACAAACGCGGCAGACAGCAGTGCTCAGGACAGGGAACGACATTAGGGGTGCTTTCTGTCTTGCTGACCAGCGTGGAAGCCTCTCAGCTTTTCACAGACCTGAGGCCAAAGAGGCCAAATCTGCCACTCACTCTCCCTGCAGACCAGGGACATCCAGGCAGAGAAGGAGTGGTCTTCCCAGCTGCCCACACCCACCTCCACAGCTCCAGCCTGGAGACAGAATGTCCAGGGTGTTCACAAGGAGACGGACCCTGTGTTCAAGTCCTGCCTCGGTTCCTAAGTAGCTGCATGATCTTGACCGTATCACTTAGCACCTGTGAGCCCCAGCTGCCTTACGTACCACGCAGGGTTCACAGCAGTTCCCACTGCATGGGAGGGTCACCGGGACGATGCCAGAAAAGCACCTGGCACAGAGGAACCACCCAACAGTCACTGCTGGGGCGGCTGCCTGGCACACAGTGGACCATCCACATCAGTTTCCTTCCTCATGTCTGGTAGGCCGACCCCCACCATGGCCCTTCCCCATGATCCTCAGCCTCCCTTTCCTCAAGGGTCAAGGTCAAACCATGGGGCCCCAGAGTCTGTCCATCCAGAATGTAGACACCTCGGCTAGGGAGAGTCCCTCCTCACCCCCGAACCCCGTCTGAACCAGATTCAATTTCTCTTCACTCTAAGTTTGTCATCAAGACGCAAGCAAAGGGGACAGATGGGCGTGAACGGAAGGGACGCTCCAAGACCCCTTGGACGAGCTCCAGCGCAATAGGGACAGAGGTTGGAGGGCGGCGGGCTTCCCAGCAGGCACTGGGAACGTTGTGTAAACACCCGGGGAAGGGGGTGGCAGGGCAGGGTGCCAGTGGGGATAGAAATGGAGGCTGGGTAAAGGGAGAGCAAGAGGCTGTTTCAGTCTGTTGGAAAATAAGAAAATCGAGACAAAAATATCCCAGCCGTGAAGCTGGTTGGATGCCAAGTGAGCCCGATCTGTCAGGAATTCGACCCCAGCGCTAAGCCCCAGTGCTTGGGGCTGTCACTGACACCACGGTGGTAGGGACAAGTGGGTCTTTAAATAGCTCAGTGTCTCAGAAGTGGGGGAGGCAGAATGTTAAATATGATGCCTGCTGCCATCCTGGGCCCCCTCAGAGGCCATGGTGTCTCACTCCCTGCCTCAAGCAGGGCAGGCCTGCCCCAGCTCCCTCCTGAGAGAAGCAGGAAGAGACAGATGGAGATGGGAGAAGGAGGACTTTTTCCACCATGCAGAAGGATTCCTTGATTTCCTGCCAGTGCCTGTTCCACTGGCTCTTGTCTGACCACTGAAGTCTGACCATCATTCCGTGGCAGCCTCAACCTGCCTCTTGTTGTAGTTTCCGCAACAGGGGTGCAGTGCAGTCCCTACTTCCATAAATCATCCTACAGAGATGGTTGGGGCTTCCCTGCCACTTTGCCCTCTTATCTCTACGTTCCAGGACCTTTCCTTTCTAGAAGGGGATTAGTTTGGCCTCCTAGCTTTAACACAGAACAGGGGCCCCTGTTCTGTGATGTCAAAGGGCACGTACAGCTTTGGCTGGCTACCCAGCCCCAGCCCAGACCTACTTGCCTTTTGGGCCAAAGAGTCACTGGCCCTGCTGGGGGGCAGGGGCCCCTCATCTCCCCGAGATAAGACTGAGATACCCTTCCCCCACGACCTAACCTGGAGCGAGTGAGAGGCCTTCCTACGCCCATCCCAACAGAAATCGGGAGCCCCACTGCCCCAGAAGCCACAGCTTAGGACAAGGTCCACCGCCACACCCTCCACTCAACTCAGGATCCCTCCCTCCAGCAGAAACACACTCACGGGACCAAAGATCGACAGGAAAATCAAGCTTGATCATCCCCAGGAGCGTGGATTCTCAGGTTCTGTCCCTTGCGGGCCTAGGAGTAGCACAAGAGGGTCCCTTGTCCCAGAACCCCACATCCCACCGAGCGCCCTAAGAGACAGGTCCCAGCTGTCTGCCCTCTTGCACCCCATATCTCCTGCTCCTTCCCAAGAGGTCCTTTTTGCTTTGAGTCAGAGTCTCACTCTGTCGCCCAGGCTGCAGTGTGGTAGCATGCTCACAGCCACTGCAGCCTCAACCTGCTGGGCTCAGGCAATTCTTCTGCCTCAGACTTCCAAGTCGCTGGAACTACAGGCGTGCACCACCACAACTGGCCGATATTTTTTTTTTCTATAGGGATGAGGTCTTGCCATGTTGCCCAGGCTGGTCTCAAACTTGTAGGCTCAGGCAACCCTCTTGTCCCAACCTCCCAAAGTGCTGGGGATTACAGGCGTGAGCCACCTCACCCAGCCCCAAGGAGTCCTTAATCACACTGGACTGAGGAATACCCTGGGAGGTGTGACCCCCTCCCCAAGAAGGAAGCTGAACTGCAGATACTACTGAGATAAAAGATCCAAGTCAGGGAAATCAAGATGGGGGTTGTGACATGACCGCTGGCCTCTGGCACACGCCATGGAGACCAAGGCTGGGACCTTCAGACCTGTGAGCTATCCAAGGAGACTCTGAGCTTTGTTCGGAGAGTTCAGGCAGGGTAGTCTCATGCCCTCTAGAAGGGCAGGGGGTGGTAAAGGCAGTCAGCCCAGACAAGCAGTATCCCTGGAAGGACCCCAAGGGAAAGGCGACAGGTGTATCCTCCTCAGTTCCCCTGCCCTTCCTGATTCTTGGCCAGGACCAAATTCCCTTCTCCATGAGGCCTACACAGGAAGTGTGCAGCCTACCTGCGCCTGTGACAGTATGCGCTGGTGCCAGGCCCTGCCTGGCACTCAGGTCCCTCTCTGCTCCCCCTCCCCTCCTCCCCTTCACACACAGCCACATTGGGGTCAAGGTTGCCCAGCTCACCTGTGCCTGCCTCCCAACCACGCAGCCTCCTAGATCCCCACCCACCCCTCCGAACGCTGGTTCTGTCTCCATGGCTGGCTCAGCCTCCTCTAGACAGCCATCAGATTTCGGGGGTTCTTCAGGGCTCCATGCTAGATCCCTTTTCTTCTCACTAAGTTCTCCTGTGAGGATCTCACCCACACACACAGTCTCAATCACTGTCACATAAGCACGAGCACAGGGGCCACCCCAATTCCTGCAATTCCTCGCTATCCATCTAACCCACTGACAAGGCTTGTCAACACAGGCCAGGTCAAACTGTGTAATCCCAGCACTTTGGGAGGCGGAGGCCAGAGGATTGCCTGAGCTCAGGGGTTTGAGACCAGCCTGAGCAACATGGTGAGACCTTGTCTCCATAATAAATAAATTTTAAAAATTAGCTGGACGTGGTGGCATATGCCTGTGGTTCCAGCTACTTGAGCCCAGCAGGTTGAGGCTGTGGTAGCTATGAGTATGCCACAGTACTCCAGCCTGGGTGATAGAGTGAGACTCTGACTCAAAAAAAAAAAAAAGAAAGTGTGGACTCTGGAGCCAATGCCTGGATTCAAACCCTAGCTCTATGACCGCAGGTTACTTGACCTTTTCAGTCCTTGGTTTCCTCATCTGTAAACTGGGGATAATAATAACACAAATAATACCTACCTTAAACTGTGTTAAACCAAAATCATGGGAGGCCATTGTTTTGGACAGAGCCCCTGCACTAGACCCCAACAGACCAGACCAAACCAAAATGGAGTTGCTTGTGCTGTATGCCACATGGTCACACTGAAACTTCAAGGAAGCAGACAGATCCCAAAATAGACCAGTTTGTCCTAAAGACAGAAGATTCTAGTCTACCCGAGTCAATGTAAGAAGGAAGTCCCCTCTGCTTTAACCCTTACAAAAAAGTATGCTGACGTTAGCCAATCCATTGTTTTCCACTGTTCTGCTTCCCTGTTCTCACCTTACTAAACTCACAGTTCTGCTATTGCCCAGTGGGGCTCTCATTCTATTTAGCAGAATGGAGGCTGCCCTGATTCATGAATTGCAAATAAGAGCCAATTGGATCTTTTTAGATTTTATCTTTTGCTACTTGTTATGGAATGAACAAGGTTCATATTTATAAAATGCTTAGAATGGTGCCTGGCATACAGGAAGAGCTGTGTATGTGTTTAATGTTAAATAAAATAACATTTCTTAAAAGTTTAATGTCACCTCCAAAACACAGCTCACATGTACTTCTCTTGAATGCCCAAGACCTGTGCCACCTCTCTAGTCTAGCTCCTGGGCCCAGTGCTAAAACTACCAACTGGTCCCCTGTATCCACTCCTCCTCCAATCTGTTCTCTCCACAGTAGCCAGAACGAGCTTTCCAAAGGGCAAATCTATTCACGAAACCACCTCTCTCCCCAGCCCTCCTTTAAAATCCCTTGGTGCTCGCTGGTGCATTGAGAGTCAAGCTCTAAGGGCGAGGCCCTCCATGGGTTGGCACCATCCGCTGCCTACTGGCCCACCCATCTCACACCCACCCCCTGCCTTCCTGCCTGCAGGCCTCCTGGATTGACTCTCACTTGATCCTGCCTGCAACCTTCTGAGTCTTGTTTAGAATACTCCCCCTACCCTCTTCACATTTATCTAGTTAACATTCACTTGTTCCTGCCCTAACTCCCATGCCCCTTCCTCAAGGAAGCCTTCCCTGATTGCACTATAGTGGTCTAGTCCCCTGTCACACACCCCTGTAGTGCCTCTCTTCTGTTGTGCTTTTTCTTTGAGTTGGAGTCTCACTCTGTCACCCAGACTGGAGTGCAGTGGCCGCTCCCGGCCACCGCAGCCTCAACCTGCTGGGCTCCGGCGATCCTTCCACCTCAGCCTTCCGAGTAGCCAGAACTACAGGCAGGCGCTACCATGCCCGGCTAATTTTTGATTTATTGTAGAGATGAGGTCTCGCTGCCCAGGCGGGTCTCGAACCCGCGGGCTCAGGCAATCCACTCACCTCGGCCTCCCAAAGTGCTGGGATTACAGGCTGAGCCACTGAGCCCGGCTGTGCTTTTTCATGGTTGTGCTTTTACATTCAACTGTGTGGCTGTGTAGTTAGCACCAGAGGGTAGGGACCTGTCTGTTTCTACAAACTTCTGGACCTCCAGCACCCAGCGAAGAGCCTGGTACATAGTAGGTACTCAATATACACGTGAATGGCTGCTGGGAATGGCAGGAAAGTGAGGAGTAGGGATTTTTCTTGAGGCTTACAGAGTACCTCTGACTCAGAGACATCCATTGCAACCTCTAATTCTTTTTCTTTTTTTTTTTTTTTTGAGTTGGAGTTTCACTCTCACCCACACTGGAGGGCAGTGGCATGCTCCTGGCCACTGCAGCCTTGACCTAATGGGCTCAGACGATCCTTCTGCCTCAGCCTTCCAAGTAGCTGGGACTACAGGCACGCGCCACCATGCCAGGCTGATTTTTTTTTTAAGAGAGTCTCAGTCGGGCTCAGTGGCTCAGCCTGTAATCCCAGCGCTTTGAGAGGCTGAGATGAGTGGATTGCCTGAGCCCGTGGGTTCGAGACCCACCTGGGCAACTTAG